ATTGCATATTGAATTCTAGTCTTCTTTTTGGAAGTTTAATATACATGGAAATAAACCACATATGATTTTTATATAAAGCAAGAACTAAAATATTAGAAATGTATAAATATTTTTACCTCCAGATATCCTTGGAGATATGCTAAAGAAATAATGCTTGCAGTCAAACAGAGGTAGAGTGAGATCTAAAGATTATTCCAAAAAAAGACTGTGTTTAATTTCAAAGCAACAAATCATTCTGTAAGTCCTTATTTCATGGTCACTTAATATTCTTAATAATATTTTATTATTTTGATAGTTGTTAGTACAGTAGCTGTTTCCATTGCATATTGCCCAAGGAAATGGCATGAAGCTGAGTCAGGGGATGTTCAGGTTGAGTGTTTGGAAAATGTTCTTTGTCAAGGTGTTTGGTACTGGAACAAGCTCCTTAGGGCAGTGGTCATGGCACTGAGCTGCTGGAGTGTAAGACGTGTTTGGACAATGCTCTCAGAAGTATGGTTTGATTTTTGGGTGGTCCTTTGTGGAGCCAGGATTTGGACTCAGTAATCCCTGAGTCCCTTCCAACACAAGATACTCTATAATTCTATAATTTAAAAATTGTTTCATTTCCAGCTAATATTTCCTGACTTTTCATCACTTCTTGTTGGGAATTAATGTGCTAAGTTTAAGAATTTGTATAAGATAGCTTCTTCCTTTTAGACTAAGCCATCTCTTAACTTTCTACTTGATCAACAGAATAGACTAAGCACCTTCTTTTTCTTGAATCCTCTCTGGTTTTGGGACCAATACAACACAATACCTGTTCACATAATATCTTGGCTGTGAACTAGAGGTTAGTTTGTTCTTTGCACCTATAAAAATTAGAAGGAATGAAGATATTAACATGCTGTGCTTTTTACAACCTTCTTTCTTCCTCTTTTCTTTTCTTGCTTTATTTCTTTCTGCTTTTACAAAATTCTGATTACACCTGCTTTGAGAATAATGGTGTCATTGGTTGTTCCTTCTGAGACAGCGCTTTCTTACCAGAAGTATAGTTTGATGCCTAAATGACCTTGGGAGCTAATCACTTCTTCCCCACTGGGCCATAGATTTGGAACAAAGTAATTCTAGGAAAAAGATCTGGCAGATGGAATTATTTTCTTTCTTTCTCTGGCATATTGTCAAAGTACATTTACCTGTGACAAAAGCACCAAATGAAATTCTAAAAAAAATAAAGACTGCCAGAGTAAAGTTTCTTTCTTTCCATAAGGCCTCCTAAGGTTTATGCATGGTTACTTGTTCATTTCTGTGCTTATACATTAAAACATATCTGTGGCCTTCACTTCTGAGTAAAAGATTGTATTGAAAATAAATTACCCCTCTCAGAATAGTCTGTGTTTGACAACATTTTCTCAAGGCGTCTTGGTGGATACTAAGGAAGTCAGAGCTTGAGAGAAGACCTGAGCACCTTCCAACACATGTTCTTTGATAATTATCAGATAAACATTGCTTTCTTGGAGAACCTACTTTTTGGCCATACTGAGGCATAGATATGATTTTCTGCAGTGTATTGGTGTATCAGTGAGGAGAAGGCACAAAGCACATATGAGGGAGTTCTGCATCCAAATCCTGCAGGCACACCAGAAGCCCTCAGTCTGCAGTGCAAGCTTCAATGGATCCTGTCTTCTGTTTCTACGTTCATTGGTAAAAACAGTCCTTATCAGCAGTCTGGAAAAACAGTCGTCCCTGAAAATTATATGTGCTATATTACCCACACTGAGGTCAGAATGCCATTACAGAGACTGAAGCACTTGCATATGCCCCAAAGCAGAGGTTTCACTTTAGCTAAAAAGCACCACATAACAGAGGTAGCAGATGTTTAATAGCTGCACCATTGACAATGTGTTTAACTGTTATTAATATTTATAATTCAGTAATGATAACCATGGCTCCAAAGTGCACTAAATGCACTATCCTTATTGCTTTAAGTTAAACCTTTGTCTCAGTTAATTGGCTATGTATCCCACTCCTATGCAGCCCATATGGCAAGGACAGGAAATAATAATATTGTTATGCTGGAAAAAATGAGTGACTGCTCTCAAGTGACTGTATGGTCTCCAGACAATTATTGAACTGGTTTAAGCAATGGTCATACTAAAGAGCCATCGTTCAGCCCTAAGGAGAGGAATAATTAAACTACTTCATTTAGTGAGATTCCTAGAAATGGCAGAAGCCATTGCCCAAGGCAGCTGGTCATAGGGCAAGGCTTGATAAGGAGCTGGTACCCATGACCTAAGAGTTTGACTAGTTAGAACTGCAGGGATGTAAGACTGAAGTGGCAAGCTATGGATAGATATTGCAGCAGAGAAAGTGAATATCAAATTAACAGAGAGTAGTAGTCATGACCATGGCCAAGAAAATTGAGAAAATATTGCCTTATGACGAAGCAGGGTAGAAGATCTAGGGATTTCTTCATGGGAGAGCAACTATTCACAGCTAGTGAGCTCTGTGAGTCAAGATATTGAATACATTGATAATTTGGATGGAAACCAGGAAGAATTGTTAGATAAATAACTGTCACTTCTTCACTGTAATTTTCTTCCTTCAAAATAAATACTTATATAATAAAAAATCAGTTGATTATTACATCTCACCATGCAAGAGCGTATTTATGAATATGTGACAGCTTCATGTCTGAAATCACATAAAGAAGAAATGAATAGCTATCCAGAAATATTTAATATTTTTATTAAAAGCAATCAAGACATTAAAAACAAAACATATGAAGTTAAAAAGAAAACCAGAAATTGGAAAAAAAAAAAAAGATGTTATTTGGAAATCTTTCTTGAAGCTCCTACAGTCCAGGAATATTTTCTTCTATCTCACCATATCCCAGTTTAAAAATCATACTCCCTGTCACTGAACATTTCCTCCTATCCATTTTTGGTAAATACAAAGAATATTTGCCCTTTTACTGTCTGAAAAGTATCATGTGCTAGATTCATACATCCATACCAAAATGCTTAGAAAATCAGTGGAAAATAGTAATGAAACACATTCACCACGTTCAGACAAATGCATACTTGACAGGATGATCAACATTTCTTGGCTCTCAGAAGTTATGATCTTTTAGTGTTATGTTAAAGAAATGGAAAGTATATTTGCTGATATTTCTGACTTACATTTCTCATAGTTTCAGGATTTTCTGGAGGCTGCCACGTATACAGGGAAATGTTTGAGCCCTAACAGTTACATGAATTATGTATCCCTTGTATGAAATTTCAGATTATCCAATATTTGTTATACTTTATTTGCTATTCATCATTTGCTATTCATTATACTTGTATTTATAAGTTTCAGTTACCCAATCAGGGAGCACAGACAATGCTATGTGATTTGGTTGACCAGTCAAACACTTCAAATAGTGAATAGATGACACTAACAATCTGAGAACAAAAAAACAGGTTGAAATCAGTTCACATAGAAACTGTTCAGTGAATACTTACAAAGAACAAATGTGTTTGTAGAAATCAGGATTATTTCCAGAATGATTCACGAACAGCAAAACGGCTAAATTAGCAACAAACACTATTTGCAAAGGATAATTCAATCAGTCATAGATGAAAGAGAATTCGGCAGGATCTGTGATTCTCTTCTCAGGAAATGTCAAGTAGCATTTTCCTTCTCTGCCCTGCCATCAAAGCCGACTGTAAAGATGCTCTTTTCTAGCAAATTTCAGTTTGTATGAGATGCTGAACAATACTTGAAATCTTTACAGCATCTTGTTGCCCACCCTTTTTAGAGTCCCCAAGTATTTTTAGTCACATTGATCAGCAATAAACTGAGGCATGACTGCATTTGATTAAACCTGAAAATCCATGCCTGCTTAAGTACCTAAATAATCAATTTTGATAGTTAACTTTAGAAAGCTGATTTTAACTACTTTTGGGAAGCCCCAGAAAGATTGTGTTGGGACTGGATCCAATCCCCTATTAATGTTCTTAGATTACTGTGAAAGACACAGAGACCACATAAATTTGTGACCGTTCCTTTTCTGTTCAGGCAGTGACACTAGTGCTGTAATTCTTGTTCAGTGGGATGAACGATATCTGAGCTGTGTTGAACATACACTGGATAATGTATGGAGCTGGCAAATCCTTTTTTAATAGTATTCAAGTACAGAATCAGATTGACATTCCTTACCTTCAGCTATGTAAAATGCCATGGACTATTCCATTTAGTCATCTAGATTCTTTCAGTAGAAAGAGAACAAATCCATAGCCTGGAACAGGAGAGATGACTGACAGTGGAAGGAACACTGTGAATCACACGCATGGCCCCATCCTGGCTCCCTTCCTGCTTCATGCTCCTTGGAAAGCAGGAAAGAAGGAGGATGTGATACTACTTATCTCCCACTTGACCACTGCTTTTAGGAATCTTCTCTCACCTGTTTTCTTACATATACTGAATGGTTCTTATTTTCGTTACCAGCTTCCTCAGCCATGCACAGTGGGGAAGAGTCATAATGAGCTGATGGATCAAGTATTCTCTCAACTTGTTCAAATACAATGTAAAGAATGTATTTCCATTCCCTCATAAACAACTGTACCATCACTTTTATGTGTGTCATCAGTCTGAAAAACTTGCATTAATCGCCCCACTTCTTAAATGGTGCGAGCTGTTTCTTCTGCTACTCACTGTTTAGATAGATATAAGAAAAGTCTGCTGTATACTTCCAAATGTTCTCTTTTGCTATGTTTGTTAAGTAACAAAGCCACAAAAATAGAAGGCAACAGAATGAAGTACATCAGGACAGTGCTGAAAAATTGTTCATTTTAGTTTACACCACTTGTCACAATTAAATCTCAACGTGAAATTCACTTTTACATTTGCTTCTGTATTCTAAGACGCTTAAATCTTCCATCCTGGAAATGTGGGTAAATTAAATGTCAGTGACTTGCTCACTCACTTTATTGTTTGTTTTCTTCTTCTTTTCTTTTTTTTTTTAACCTGAAGTCATGCAGTTTGTTTTTTTTTTCTCTCTTTTTCTAAAAAAAAAAAAAAAAAAAGAAAACAAAAAACAGGAACATGTTGCCATTTTACAAGCCATAAAGGATTTTTTTCCCAGATTAATTAAAAAAGGCTTATCAGGCTTGTACTACAAAAAAACAGATGGGATGACTCTAAGTAGAATCATTCATTTACATCAGAGCTTGAAATGAGTGGGGCTACTCAAGTGAGTCAAGTTTCATAAGTATAGCACAACTTGGACAGTAAAATGAACTATTACAGCTAATCAAATGTTAATACTTGAAGTCTGAGGATGACCTTGGGTTACTGAATTTGGCAAGATGCTTTTACCTACCTTGAGTTGAAAAGCGTCACAAAGGAAAGCCTGGAGAAACTATTTAAAATAGAAGCATCATAATGTTTCTGAGTCACAGAGCTTTACAGAATGGAAAGAGGTCATAGTGTGGTCAACCCCTTGAGGAAATCTGAGTAATATAAAATTTTCTGCCCTCTGACTTGACTGCATGGGTGGCTGAGCTATTTTACCACTCAGGAAGTCTTGAACAGCAAAAATGCTGATCAGAGAACAAAAGTTGCAGTACTGTTTTCCTTCCCCATTCAGTTTCTTCCATGTTTATTTTGATATTGGGGTTTTTAAACTGCATGGAATGACTTGGATGTTAATTTTTCCTGAAGTATCCTGGAAAAAAAAAATCCTATCGGTCTCGTAAAACAGGCAAAGTTTTTCCTTTAAGAAATGAATGTGATGGAAGCAGAAGGTAAATTAAAGTTTAGAAAAATGAAAGAAAACAGGATTACTCAGCCATATGTAGAAAGATGAGTGCTCACACATGTACATTTTTTGTGAATGTAAAAATAATACCTAAATATATGCAAATACATCAACTCATGCAGACATTTGTGTAGTCATACAAGGATATGAGCATAGGCGTACAGTTTGCATTCTTTATTCATCATACAAAATTATATATAGACTGGAACATATCACATCATATTCATATTCATTGATCTAATTAGAAAATTTTTGGTCTAGCATCATTGTGTTTTAATGATTTCCACCATTTATTTGTGCCAGAATACGTCTCTGAGAGTAATTCACTGAGTGAATGAAGGAGGTATATTTCCTGAAAGCAAAAGAAAACATTTGCTTTCAGTTACAATGTTTTTTCATCTTCGTGCATTCCCAAACTTACCCACAAAATTTCTTGAAGTATGAAATTCCTTTTAGGGATGTTAAGAATGAAGTAAAGATCTTAGAAGTGCTAAACCCACGAGGAACTCCTCAACAAAACACACCTCCAAATACACAAATGATTTTCTGGCTCCTATTTACACATCCGTATGTGGTAAAGGCAGAGTATTGAAAAACTTGCAGAACTGGTTGCTGGATTAAGCTTCTTCCCTTCTATCGCTGTACAGGTTGTATCTTGCCATTAAGATAATACTTCATGGATAAGGGCTATCTCTTGACTCTGTATCTGTAAAACAACCAGCACAGAGACTAATGCAAAACTGCACAAAAGGGAAAATTTCATCTCACAAGGCCATGGTTAGAAGAATGCAAAAAATGGTCAACAGTCCATCTAGCTAACTATCTTGCATCTGCCAGTATCCACAAGTGAAAATCCAAGGAAGAACAAGCATATATAATGCTTTACACATTCACACTCAAACTATTTTCATCTCAAAGATTTCCACACATTGATAAGTTTTATCTCCAGATTTAGTCTCCAGAGGATGACTTTTGCAAGAATTTGTCCAAAATCCCATTGATACCATGCCAATTTTATGCACAAGAACATCAAGCAAGTTGTCCTACCGGTCCATCACTGGCCACGTGGAAAACCACACTCTGAAGTTTGTTATGAACCTGGCTCTTATCTGTCAACATGGTGGATGCATTTCTTGTTTATGATGAAGAAAGTGAGCTGCCAGTCTTCCCATCAGCCATAATTATGTAAAGCTCTACCAGATACTCCTTACATTTCTTCTTTTGACTTCAGAGCTCTGGCCTATAGCAATTGCTGTTCGTGAGGAAATCATTAAGAAAAATAAAAAATCATTCTTTCTGCCCTTCTCTGGACCTTCTCAAATTCTAATACACCTCAGAGACCATTTTATAAGTGGAGATGGGACTGCTTTTCCTTATGTGCATCACTTTACATACATCTACATTGCATTTCATCTATCATTTTATTGCCCAGTCATTCAGTCTTTGTAATACTTCATAGTCTGCCCTTGGCCTGTGAGTCTAAATAACTTGTATCATCAGCATATTTTCTTACCTTACCGCCTACACTCTTTTTTCAGGTCATTTTTGACACTTGTTTCTGAGGCAGTGCTGGTTTAACCAGCTTGTACCAGCTGCATACTCTCAGCACGGCTGGAGTAGCTGTCTATGACCTGGACTGAGGTGACACACTGAACTGGATCAGGCAAGTGACCTGCAGTTTTTTTGCTGGGCTATTTTTAAACAGGGAGGCAGGAATAGTATAAGCTGATACTGTCAAATGTAGAAGGTTATTATTCCACTGCCCCAGTGGTAAGGTGAATGAGCAAGCTTAACCTTGAAATCAACAACTTACACTGATCACAAAACTCATGTGTTTGGACCATGGTGGCCACTGTATGTAGTGCCTCTAACTGACAAATAAGACAAAGGATAGGGTAAAAAAGCACAGGTAGATGATTTCCACCTCCTGTGTGTGGGTTTTGTGTGGGCTTATGAAGCCTTTTTGTGTGTTGACTGTGATAAAATAGAATATCTTACAAAAGAGGACAAAGCAGGAGGAAGTAAAAAGGAAAGGAGTAAAGATAAGAAGAGGGCTGAGCAAGGAAGAGAGTGCAGTGAACATACATCAATCTACAAAATCTTACAAAGTTGCTCTATCTTCTCTCTTCACCAGTGTGTGCCTTGAGAGCATATTCCATTGGACTGAAATGTTCTGGAAGCAGTATTACCTAGCTCAAAATTCAAGTACTTCCTACTTGGAAAAATTTTCATGTATGTGTCAGAAGAGATTCCATTTAAAGAAAAAGCAGAGCCCCAAATGTTCTGCAAGAACACTATCCCTGGAAACTTCTGTGAAGGAAGATGGAAGAAATCAAAATGAGTATGCTTCAGAGTAAGCTTCTAAGCTTCAGGCATTTGACATCTGTACCTCAGCTCATCACTCATCAAAGGCAGGTATTTTTAGGAAACCATTCACACAACTTCTTTGGCATGTTCTTATCGGAATGAATTATTCCCTTGATTTTGATGACAGTATTGATTATATCAACACTGACTGTAAAAAAAAAATGCTTCTGAAGTAGATACCATCTTTGTAGAACCCCACCTTATGTTTTTCCACCTTGCTTGTGACTAGAAAAAATTACATAATTTATAAGGCGGTAGCCCATGCATTGATTCTAAAAGGTTCAGTTCTCTTGGTTAAAACTTTCAGCGACTTTGTGCGCAGAAGAATTCAGAAATCATCTTATTCATCTTAGGACATCCAAGATAGACATGGACAATAACTGCAATTTTTCTTCCTTTATCACATTTGCCACCAGATATTTCCTAGAAAATCTGCTCAGCATTTCCAGAATGAGCTATTTACATTCTCCAATCTTGAAAAAATAAAAATCTACTTCAAAACATCTACAACTTTCTCAGTTGCAGCTGTTTACTCACATGGTTTTAAAACAGTGACTAGGACAGTTTAGTATCAAAAAAAAATATGGGGGATATTTTTTTTCATTTTCTTCCCTTATTCAAAATCAATTACTGAAAGCTTTGGAAAGTAAAGAAATACTGAAAAGAAAGGACTAGAATGGAAAATATTATAGACGATTAATTATAGTTATCACTGTTGCCATGATTGTGATTTACAGCACATATAACTCCTTGCAGTTAAAAAAAAAAAAAAAGAGAGAGACATAAAACATGAAATTAGTTGGAGAGCAATACTTTCTCTGTATATTTTTGTGAGTACCATACATCTACAAATTCCCTGACTGCTACCAGTTTCCTGCAATGCCATAATCATATTGGGGACAGCTTTACATCCCAATAAACTGCACAACACAAGGTTAGCTTTCCTTCCTTAAGGCAAGCAAATGAAGTCAAATAGGATGCTGAAAGAGCAAAGGACAATCTTAAAACAGTGGGACATCTGGCTACCCTATCTAAGATGGAATGGAGCAGCTGCTCAGCTGCCACAGGAATGCTCCACAAAGGCGTACAGGAACTGCCGTTCCAGATCAAACTAATGGTACCACTACCAGATGCTTTGGAGGAAGATGTAAAACTCCCATAATAGGCAATTATACAACAACATGTTGGTGAGGAAAGTTTTTTCCTTTAAGTCTCAGACATTTAGTGCATGATTTATATTCTGAAGAATGTGCATTGATTTATGTCCTGGAGAAACCAGAGCTATCCTTATAATTCATACGATGGGTAATCCTTTCTTTTGAAATATCTACATTCTTTTTCTCGGTTACATGTTATGGTAGTCATGTATTATTAAGGATCAAATATGAAGAAATGCTGCAACCAGATGAAATGCAGAGAAAAACATATAGGGACAATGCAGTGATGTAAATTTGATTACAGCCAAGAGGTTATGGATAATCTCAAAAGATGTATGCATTTTCCCTTTTAACTACATGACTGCATTAGGTATGGCAAAAATATAGCAAATAAAACACAAGTTGGAGGCATCCAGGTGTGACAGTATGCAGACTGAAGGAAATGGGGGTGAGCACTGCCAGCTGGCTGGATGAGGCCCCTGTCCTTCCTTGTGTCAGAGCTGCTAACCACCATAAAGAACAGGAACCAATAATAAACCATTTTCTAAACCATTTTCCTTAGTCATTAAAATACAGCCTGAAGAAGAGGAGGGCTTCAGTCCTATCCTTCTCATAGACTTTGATGGCGTTCTCTCATCACACAGCACATAGGCTGGTATTATCCTTGGGCAGCCTGTAGTTCAGATTTTGACTAGGCCGCTGAACTGCTTCTGAGAGCTGTTAAATCATAGACTAAGCTAGTAGATTTGTGTCATTGAGATGGCTTCTCTAAAGAGGGCATTAAATCCCCATTGGTCAGGGCTGCTACAGTAGACTGAGCAATTTTTTTTTTTCTCTCTCAGAGCATGAGCATGTACTCCAAACTATTTATGTTAAGAAAATGCATGCCAGGATCTGAATGCTTGCTAGGGGTATGACATGACAAGCACACATGCTACAGTTGTGTGCATCCTGCTGCTGCCAGAAACTGTATTTCATTTTGAACTACTTAAAGGAATAGTTTAAGTTTTATGGCAATCCACACAGTGCATCAGCATATAAACACATTCTCATCTGAGAGAAGGTTTTTGATCCATTCTGCCACTTTTGAGCCAGAAAAACAAAACAAAACAAAACAAAACAAAACAAAACAAAACAAAAAAAAAAAGGTAATGAAACAAATGGAAAATAGGAAACAGCAGACAATTCTTCAGTCACCCAAACATTTCTTGGATTATAAAACTGTGAGGAACCACAGTGCTAATCTAATCCAATCTTTCTGATATCCTGTTGTGAGTTACAGATTGTCAGGGACAGAAGTTGCACCATAATCCTTGTTAAATTTTTCCAGAGGTTAATAATCTTCCTTATAAAACTACTGCCTGTAAATCTTAGTTTTTCTAGCTTCAGTGTCCATCTACTTCATTTTGTTATGTCTTTGTCTGTTGGATGGGAGAACCCATAACTACCAAACGTATTCTCTCCACGGAGATACTTACAAACTGTGTATATGTCATCTCTTAACCTTTCTTTTGGTAAACTAAACAGATTGAACTCACTGAGTTTACAAGCCTTGTTTTCTTGTTAAATCGCTCCTGTATTTCTTCCTCAAACTGCCAGTCTCCCAGTAGGTCTTTGTAAGACGGTAAGCCTCTAAACTGAACTCATTAATCTAGACACAGGCATAGAGATACAAAATATAAAGACTCAATAGCCTAACTCCTCCTCACTCTTCAAGGATCACAAAAAACATATTTGTTCAATTACAAGTCTGTTTACATTTTGTGACCTACTGGTTAGCTAGCTCTAATAAACTCAGTGTGTTCTGTGTTGACTATTAGTCAACACAGTTTCTTAAAGAAAATGTTTGCTGGACACTCAGATGAATTCCTGACACAAATCTGTGTATATTGTACCAATGCTATTTACCTTTATTAACCCAGCTTGTAATCCCATCAGAGAAAGATATCTGGTTGGTTTGACAAGAACTATTTTCATAAACTCATGTTGATTGACATTTAATATTTTATGCTCTTTTGGAAGTTGCTGTATCCCAATTGATAACATTTCATGAGGAATTATTCCATCAAGTGCTGAAAGACTGTATTCTGTCCCTCTGGAAATTCCGCAGGTCATTTTGTATTAAGTGGATTCTAACTTATATTAAACCTATCCCTGACTTTTGTCATATAATATAACACAGCCATCACTGTAAAGAGGCTGCGTTATACAAGTGAAATGACTGAGGTAAGAGTGTAAACACTTCACTACGAATTAAACTAAGCAAGTAGTCATATTTAAGCCTTAGGCTTCCAGAAAATCAATCTTCCAGTGTGAGAAAAACTCACTGATCTATAGCCTACATGAGTGTGCTTATTTAAGAAATACATTAAATTTATTATGATAACATAGGTCAGTATATAAAAGGATGCATCAAATCCAAGCCACTTAGATTTCTCCAAAGCCTATATACCAGAGATAATACCATTCTAGAAGACAAAGAAAATTCCCATTATTTATTATAAAATAGCTTACCGTCATAAAGGCAACAGAAATAATAAACAGTATTTCAGAAGTGAAGTGCAATGGTATAATAAAATTAAATGTAATCAAAATGCCCAAAGTTCTTATAGAATAGGTCTAGAAATCAGATAAGGTGGTAAGCCAGCTCACTCTGTTATGTCAGAGCAAGTCACTCCAGTTGTCATAAAAAGGACACCTTGCACATGTACCTCCAGTGACTGTAGAGTGAAGCTAAATGAATCACTCAGCTTAGACACCTCATTTTTTATGGCTAAATGAAGATAAAATTCACTCTGCTCTTGCAACCATAGATATACACAAATTTCAGGTTTGAGGGACAGATAGTGAAGGACTTGTGTTAATTTGTGCATCAGAGTACTTCAGGCAACCAATCCTATTTAATAGTCCTTCTGATTATAGTCCAGTGCTTTACAGTTAGATTAAAGAAACTTACTTCTTTTTGCTTATTTCTTCTGCAGAAATTCAAAATCAACCCTTTGGAAATCACTTTGTAAGTCCAGCATTACATACAAAATTTGGTCCCTACTTTCTGTATCACATGACTCCCCTGTCCTTTTCCCAAGCTGCACCAACATAATCTGAAAAAAAAAAAAACCACCATTCTTTTCAGAGTTTAACTGCACTGATAGGTTGTGTTCCACATACCTGACCCAATGTACTTTACTAAGCTCCAATTCAGATCTCAACACTGTTGACCTCAAACTGACCTGAAAGCAAAAGATAAGGTCCAAGACTACTTGGCCAGAAGCAATCAAAATTTCTTTGTATTAAAGATAACAACTTATTAACTGAATTTTCTGTATCCTTGTCTTATCTGACTGATCATCAGAAGCATATCTGCTCTGACTGCTGGCCAGTGGCTGGTAAATCGATTCCCTTCCTTAGCACAGGTTTGTGACAAGTAACTGCAAAGAGTGACTCTACTCTAGATGAGATGTCTGGAATTTCCAACTTCCAGATATCCTGAGCTCTGAGATTAGATGTTCCTGGGTTGTTGCTGTTTTGGTTTTTTTTTTTGTTGCTGTTTTTTGTTGTTGTTGTTGTTGTTGGGTGTGGGGTTTTTTTTTGGGGGGGGGGAGGGGTTGTTGATTGGTTGGCTGTTGTGGTTGTTTTCTGTAGGAGAGAGGGATAAAAAGAAGAGGAATATTTTTAATCTAACAGAAATAAACATTTCCACTGAATAATAAAAAGAAAGAAAAGGCTAGGATTATCTGATAGAAAAGCTCTAAGTTTCCTTCAGCACTTTCATGTTTCTGAGTGTCATTACCAAGGCTTATAATTATACACATTAGATTCTTGAACCCTGCTTAATGATGTAAGCTAGTCTGAAAGCCAAGCCAAAATTGTCATGTAGCATAGACTCTATTGCAAATCACAGATAGTCTGAATCAAATAGTTTCTAGAATTATCTTTGTAAATTCTCCAGGAGCTTAGCTGACCCCCATCAACCTTCCAGTATGTTATAGCTAAAAAATGAAAAATACAGAGCTTGAAATGAGAAGTACAGAAAACTGATTCAGCTGTCATTTTCTGATACTGATAAAAAAAGATATAGTAAGTAGGAAGCACTTCATCTTCTTTCTTCCACCTCCTGCTTAATTTTTTAAGGACAGAAAGTAATGTTTTCCCATATACAGAAAAAAAAAACAACTCATTTTCCATCTAAACCAAATATTTTTCTTAAACTAACTTTTATTTTCCCAAATATTTGACAGGAGCAGACTGTACAGTTCTGAAGAAGTTTAGTCAGCTGTGCAGATTGACTTTTGAAGTGTAAAATAAACCTTTACTTAACAGATGTCAAGAATATGACTTTGTGAGATAATGACAGGTTTTGTAATAGGTTGGTGGTGGTTCTTTCTAAGTGGAATGAATGAAGTTTTGGTGCCAACTCTTTAAATAAAATGACAACATGATTATTAACAATTGACTGGAATCAGAAAAAAAAAAGCAACAACAAAACTGACTGTACCTCTTTTTTGTGTGCTTGCAAGGCACAAATGGCTCACTGAATTTCACCGAAGCACAACTGTCTTTAATGGGTGCATTTGTCTTCCACTTGGGAGCTGCAGTGGAGCTGAAAGGAGATAACCCATGAAGATGGCACAAGACCCAGTCTTGAAATATCTAGCAAATCTTACCTCTCTCCCTTAGGCCCATTTTCCTCTGCAAGACATGGTATCCCGATTCCACACCAATGTGGTAACAATTTCTAGAGCTGACTCATCCCTCAACTAGTCAAAACCAATTCTTTGCCCCAACAGTTCAAACAATTGGGAGGGAAAGTGAGATCCACTGTAAGATTCATGGCTTCTCATATCTTCTCAGGAAACAGTGTTGGTATTGCTGTCAGCGCACTGAACTGCACAAGAAAGGCATTAAATGTTTAATGTTTCACACAGAGCCAACTCTTTTTGCTGGGCAAAACACCAGCAGGGAAGGCTCGGAAAAACTGAGGCACCTGAAGTGAGTGGCACTAATTTTCACTGCTGGCTGAACCCATTGGTATTTGGTATGGATTCCATCAAACTTTCTCATCCTCCAAAAATAGCCCTGTGGGCTTTCATAGTGAGTCTGGCTGGTTGTGATTGTTCTATATTCTCAGCCAGACTATATCATCCTGAGCTGGAAGCTGAACTGTGGGCTCACTGTGGGACTTGGAAAAAAGAAGAGGGACAATTTTATCACTAGGTGCCCCACACTCAACTTGCTTGATGGTAATCAGGAGTTGCTCTGTGCAGACCTGGGTGCTTTCACAAGGCTGAGTCCCATTACAGGGGAGTACTAACATGGACATGTGTGCAGACTCTTTTCTTACTTGCTGGCCTTGTGCCCAAGAGCCAGACCTGCTTCTAAATATATCAAAATTTCTGAAGTCCCATGGGAACAGTTGTCCTTTGCCAGTGAGACCATGTGCTGCTCAATTCCCTGTCAGTGCTGTACTGCCAGCTCCCAGCCCTGCCAGCTGACACACCACTGCAGTGATGGCCAGTCATCCTCTCCTGCCTGTTGGGTCATCCAGGGACCAGAGCTCATCACCTCTCCAGTTTTCTTACCACTGTCCTTCAGACTGACCCCGCCAGTACTCCTGTAACTCCAGCCTTGTCACTATTTCTGTTCTTTCCTCACTCTGTCTTTATTTGGGATCTTTTTCTTCCTGTCACCTCCTCACTGCTTTGTTGAAATGATCTATTTTCTTTCCTCTCCTCCCTTTTTTTTTTCGGAAATTTTTTTTGCTATTGCTCAGATTCCCCTTCCAACCTTCAAGTTCCCATGAATCCTCTGCAGCCTGTTTTCTGGCTCTCCTCCATACATTACTTCACCTTTTCTTTCATCCTATAATATATACTTGACAGCCCTCTCCACTCTGTTGATTTCCCTGAATATTCAGGACAAGACAGTGAGGAGAAGTAAAATCATTCAAAACATGTAACAATTGTACATGGATACAAATGTCATTGCAAGTATGTTGTTTGAGTGGACAGGTTATTCAAAGCATCCCCTTCCTCCTCTGAATTGTTATATGAACTTTACAACAGAAGCTAATGAAGAAAAGCAGAAATTCTTTACTCTGCATAGGGAATCTATGCAGCAGGACTGCCATGGCTCTTCTGGACCCCTCTCCAGCTACAAAGAAAATCTATGTAAGTCCTCTGTAAATATATACCCTCAACATTTCTGTTTAATGTGTGCTATTTACACAATAGCCCATTACAATAGCCCATCTGTCAATTCTCTTTGATGGCCACAGGTGGAAGATGAATAATTCTTTTGAATGGAGCATTGAGGGTCTTTGGAGGGAAGCTTGTTTGCCACTGTAGAACTAGGCCTCCCACAGAGTCAAGATCTGCAACCTTCTGGGGCTTCCAGCCATGGCTGGCCTTTAGCCAAACAGTGCCCAGGGAAGTCAGAATTTCATGCCTTTCCAGAACGCTAATTGACTGGGGATAAACATTAACCAAGAATTTCAGTTGTGCACTCTAGTGTTAAACATGATGAGCAGATGTCCAGCTACCTCAACCCTCAGGCTTACCCTACTTCAAGGGTCTTTCTATAAGGCCCCGGAGGTCATGGAAGTTAAGTTCATTTTATTATGCAGAGGACTACAAAGCATCTAAATGTTTTTATTTTTTAATACCTCTCTACAATTTGGAAAATAACTATGAAAACTTGGACAGGGACAGGGCACGTCCCAAGTCCTTGAGATGGTTCTTACTGGTTCAGAGATCAGAGCAATGAACTGTCACCTCAACCCTGGCTGCAAGCTGGAGCCAAGTGATTATTTAGATAACATACACACTTACAGTGATAGATACTCCACCCATTCCCTGAACTCTAAGAGACATCTTGCCCTTCCAAAAATGTCATCACAGGTTCTCAACAGATTTGGCAAGGAGTATAGGCGGTTTCAATACCACTGGCCAGAATCCAGCACAGAGTGTTTAAGTCATGGGCTCCCACCCTATCACCAGTGTGGGAATAAAGTTTCTAAAAGGCGGTTAGAAATCAAAGATCAAAGAAAGAATGACAGAAATTTTTGTGACACTCTGAAACTATTTGCTGAGAGCTGTAAGATTGCTAGCCTCCTTACTTTTTTTTTTTTTTTTTCCCCAGAATGATTCAATTACTCAATTAACAAAGAAACAATCCACGCTGGCACAAAATTCAAACTAAAAACTAAGAACTACCTAAAAAATTGGTATGCAGTATGCTGCCCTTAAAGCCAGGTTGCCCCTTGCATTGTCCATATGGAATGTATTTATTGTATTAGTTTTTCCATTAAATTTCCTTTCTTTTTCTCTTTCTGCTCTTCTCAACATTTGTTTGTAGTTCTACAAAATCCTTGCTCTCATCTTCTTTATTTTTATTCTTGTATTGGAAATGATTCCTCCTGAGCCTTCTATCCCAACTTTATCCTAGCAGAACTTGAAACCATTAACACTGAAATTAAACTTTTGAACTCAGAGCGTTTGACTTTGTTCAAACTTAAGTAAAACCACCCGGAGTCCAAAAGTCCTCCTTATATTGAAAGAAGAAATTGAAGATAAGATATGGTAGAAGTGGTATACATAAGCCTCTGATTCTCTACAGCATCATCAGCTGAGAACATGTCCATACCTTCCAGTGAAATGCTGCAGCTTTAGCTGTTGCTTAAATCCACTGCAAGAAGAACCCTGACAACATCATCTTAGCTCAGACCCTAGAGCCTAGAGGCAGAAGATCTACATTTATATAGCACAAGACTCTAAATAAATTAACTCTGCTTCATAGAATGACTAATCACAAAAGGAAAAACGTTGTCATGAAGCCAGATGAGAAACTGTCTGGGAAATATCTATACTATGCTGCATGGTACAGTATAGACATGCCAAATCTAAGCTACTTTTCAGTACAATCCTTCCTCTGAATACTTATTCCACAAATGTCAGTCAGAATCATATTTTTGACATGAAGTGCCCAATGACAGAAACTGTGAAGCATTTGGGAATGTGCTGCCTTCTAACTTTAAGGCTTTCTATGCATTTAAAATGTATAGCTGTCAAAAATAGCATTTTTTCCATTACTCTTTGTTCTTTCAGTCTTTTATTTTACAACTAGGCCGCTTCCCTCCCATCTACTTTCTGTCCCATTGATAGTTAAGATTTCTGCCTGCAGTATGTAAATGCAAAGGAATGGGTTATGTAGGCAAGAATGTAGGGTTCATTAGACACCTAGAAAATAGTAAATTGCATTTTAAAAAGTGAGAATCTGAAATACTCACTTTCAGTAACTTAACTGCTCCATTAAAGTCCTTAGTGCCCCATTAGTGGCCAGTTTTAAACTCTAGGAGTGTTGAGATCAAAGCAGTTGGAGAGAAAAGTGTTTTAATTACTACCCCAATAATATCTTACACTGGACATCACAAAAGATTTATGTCTTTTTTCATCACATTTACATCTAACTTTTCTCACATTAATGTTGTGGTTGCTTATAAAAAACTGTTCAGGCTATTTCCTATGTTTTTGAGAATGGATCATTTCTAACCATCTGTACAGTTTTCTGCGGATTCTGCCCAATTTAGGCCTGTGAACGGTGGTACAGAACTCTGTAAGTCTTTTATTCTTGATCTACAGTGTCTGCCTGTCTTATTTGTAGCTGATGGCTAAATTTCTATCTGATACAATTGCTGAAATAGCCTTGAAATGGGAATTGCCCCTAACTGATGTAGTGACGTCTAGAAGCATTTGCAGAATCTAAATGACAAGCTGCAAACACTGTCAGTCTCTGGAGCAGCATGTCCAGTTCAGTTTGTTCCTGTTCCAAAAAGACATAGTCAAACTAGTGCAGGCCAGGAAAATTACTCCTAGTTCAATGGGGAATTGATTTTTTTTTTTTTTTTTAAGAAAAAAAGACTGAGAACAATACTATGTAAAAAGAAAGATAGACACTTAAGTTGTCCTTAGACAATACAGCCAGACCACATCACTCCACATTCGTGCCATAGCTAGGTCATATTCAGCCCATTTAGAGCATGACAAGATTGATCTTGGTTTGTCTTCATGCACACAGTTGTGGCTTGTTCAGCCTATGAAGGCAGAAGATGTGTATGTATCAGTATTTTGATTCAGATCAAGAGTGTGCTTTTGAAGCAGATCTCCTGATCTGATTACTTCATGGTGCAGAATGGTTTATGCATGACCTGGATTCCTTTCATATTAAATTAATCTGAAATATGTAATAAAAGTTCATCTGGTGAGCTCTAACCACTATCAGTGGGTCAATCCATGGGATTGGACTCAACTAAGCAGAGTGGGTATAAAAATCCCAAATGTGTAATGTTGATGTGGGCTCCTCAACAACTTTCATTCTGCAAATTTGGTCACTCTATGCCATGATTCTCACTAATGTAGACAAATAATGTCTACTTGCTCAGAAGCCAACGAAGAGAGCCCACACTGAGCACCACTGTCCAGCTAGATTGTTTCAAATGCTTATTTATAATCAGCCCAAATATTTTCAGTGCTCTAAGCTAACCACAGTGACAACAGCAAAGAAATTAAAAGGAACTATTACAGTGATGAAGATCTGGATCAATCTTTCAGCAAGAACAAAAAGATAACACATTCTGAACAGATTTTAGCTGCATGAAATCACATGAGCTGACTGTCTGTGTTAAACAGGGATGAAGACGACTTTGTCATCCCTTGAGTTTTCTCTCACTTCTGCCTACTTACTGTGTATCTTGCTACGTTTACTTCAATATGCATTAGTTCAGAGCAAGAAAAAGTACTTCAAACAGCAATGAAACATAATAGGAAATATTTAATAGAGAGCTTCACCTCTGCCCCCCTCTCTATAGTAGTCATTAGGAAGCCAAGATAAGGTCCCTAGCACCATGCAGGCAAAGCCTGCGTGAAAAAACCCCAAAGAAACATTGCACCTGAC